AACCAACTATTGACCACTTGGTAATAGTCCAGAAGCTTTTCTATGTTTGGCAAACCACTCCGCGATTTTCTCCACAATCGCATCTATCAATTGTAATAGTGAGTAGTTCCTTGCTCTCTCTAAAACACCATTAATAGATTCAACAAAATTGCTTGTGTCTATGTTGTATTTTTCTCCTCCAAAATAACATCTAGCCCATTTCGTCACATCCGCCCACTCATCTAGATACGTACGTGCCGAAGGATATGTAGACGAAAAAACATCATAGAGCCTTAAGAACTATGCCTCCGTATAAGCCCGAGCACATTCCCAGAACTTTTTTCCACATACTCCTTTGTTTACTCCATAAACCTTTAATTTCACATTCTGAGACAAATGGAAGATACAATGCCCATGGTGGGACGACGGATAGACCTCAGCTATTGCCTTGATGAGACTTTGATTTCTATCTGAAACAAACACAATTTCAGCTTCTTGAGAAACCAAGTCCAACTATCATTTTTCTCGCCATCCACTATACCAAAATCAATCAGATAATGGTGATGATCGGGATCTTGAGCCGTAGCAACAATTAGCACTCCACCATATGCAGTCTTAAGGTGGCTTCCATCCATAATGATCACTTTTCTCATGACTCGAAAGCCTTGAATGGAAGCTCTCAATAATATGATCTTGGTTGAAGATCTATGTCCCTTGAATACACTTCGTGAGGTTGGATGAAAACAGTTTGCTGATTGACTGTTTTGGAGTTGATCTGGTCGAGTAGGAGTTGACTGGTCGAGTAGGAATGATTCTGCTCGAGTGGTAGTGACTCTGCTCGAGTAGGAGTGATTCTGCTCGAGTGGGAGTGATTCTGCTCGAGTGGTAGTGATTCTGCTCGGGTGGGAGTGATTCTGCTCGAGTAGGAGTGATTCTAGTCGAGTGGTATGAGTGATGGTGGGGTGATCGAGTGAAGAGAGTGAGATCGAGTAGATGGGGAGTTGAGGGGTCGAGTAGAACTTTCAAAGGCTGCGAGATTCCTTTGAACTTCCACGCTTGATTCTGCTTGGATATGACACACCAAGAGCAGTCTCAAGATGAGATCGTGATATTACACACACAAACTCAAGATCAAACGAATTCAGAAAGAGTTTTTGATAAGAAAATGTTTGATGTCGTTTGATTAAAAAAACAATTCCATCGCAATTGAAACCGCGAATATCTTGTCAGAAATAAATCAAGTTCCGCTTCTGTATTGCTTTTGTATTGTTTTTTATTTTTACGTTTTTTATAGTTGATTCTGCAAAATTTTCTTCAATATTTTTTTCTTTGTTTAATAGAGCTAATTCAGGATTTCTTTTTTTTTTCTTTATCTGATTCAAGCTCTACTTGACCAGCCGATTCTTTTTCTTCTTTATTCAGATTATAAAATCGAACGGATTTTTTTTCATTTGATGGTAGAAAACCTTTTTTCTTTCGAATGATCTTTTTATTATCATTTATGTTTTCATTAAAATTTAAAAGAATTAATTTCATTGGTATGACCCACGGTTTCATTTTATATGTACTAGAATCAATGGAGGAGAACCGAATATAAAGAAGAAGAAGAGAGTCTGGGGAGTTGAAGAGTTCACCTAGGGAAAGAAAAACGAAATAAACACACAAGACTAAGTTTAAATTCGAAATGGGCTCCTCCATGCAGATGGGCTCTGAGACAGCAATGGGCTTGAGTAAATGAGTGTGTGGGCTTGCTTCATTAAAAACCTCTCTTGGAAAACCCATTGGGACAAAACCAAGAGGAGGGAAAAAGAGTGCAAGTCACACACCTCCATTGCTGTCGCTTAAACGGCTTGAATCACAACCAGTGTGGTTGGACAAGCTTCTGGTTTTAGACTACCCTCAATGTGTTGTAGAAGTGTGTTGATAGCTTGATTCAACTGCTTAGTCCTTGATCTTGTCACTGGTCCAGTAGCAACTTGCAATGCCGCCACATCCTCTTTAGTTCCAAGATCTTCATCTCCATGCTCCTTAGCTCCATGCTCGATCAAGTGTTCCTCTGGTGCAATGTCCTGCTCGATCACATCTCCTGCTTGGTGGTTGAGTATGTCCTCTGGTACCTGTTGATCCTTAGTTCCATGATCCAAGCTTCCCATTATCACATCATCCTCTCCCAGTTGAAAAGGATTTGACCTCAAATCTGTATTATCTGCAATAAAAGGAATAAGGTCAGCAACATTGAAGCTATTACTTACGTTGTACTTACCTTGCAAATCCTGTGAGTAGGCATTGTTGTTAATCCTCTTGAGCACTTTAAAAGGTCCGTCTATTCTTGGCATAAGCTTAGACTTTCTCTCCTTAGGAAAACGTTCTTTTCGGAGATGAATCCAAACCAAGTCTCCGTTGTTGAAGATGAGTTCCTTTCTGCTCTTGTTGGCTTGCTTAGTATACTGCTTCGTCTTCTCTTCAATATTCTTCTTTGCCTGCTCATGAATCTGTTGAACTAATTCTGCCTTCTTCTTTCCATCTAGACTAACTCTTTCATTCAAAGGTAAAGACATCAAATCCAAAGGAGTAGTGGGATTGAACCCATAAACAATTTGAAAAGGAGAAAACTTAGAGGCATAATGCATAGAATGATTATATGCAAACTCTACATGAGGCAAACAGTTCTCCCAAGTCTTTAGATTCTTTTTAATCAATGCACGTATGAGTGTAGACAATGTCCTATTAACTACCTCAGTTTGTCCATCAGTTTGCGGGTGACAGGTAGTAGAGAATAACAACTTAGTTCCTAGCTTAGACCAAAGCGTTTTCCAAAAGTAACTAAGGAACTTAGTGTCTCTATATGATACTATGGTCTTAGGCATACCATGCAAACGAACAATTTCTCTAAAGAACAGGTTAGCTAGCTATATGCATGGCGTCATCAGTTTTATGACATGGAATGAAATGTGCCATCTTAGAAAATCTATCCACAACCACAAAAATCGAGTCCTTACCTGTCCTACTCCTTGGCAAACCTACTACAAAGTCCATAGAAATATCATTCCAAGGATGGGAAGGAATAGGAAAAGGAGTATACAAAACGTGGGGTTGTGACTTAGCCTTAGCTTGTTTACATGTTGGGCACCTTTCACACATTCTCTCCACATCTCTTTTCATGTGCGGCCAGTGAAAGTGATCTTGCATTACCTTAAGAGTTTTTGAGACTCCAAAGTGTTCCATTAAGCCTCCACCGTGTGTTTTCCTTACAAACAGCTCTCTCAAAGAAGAATTAGGAATACACAAACGGTTATCATAAAACAAGAACCCGTCATGTCTATAATACTTTCCAAATGTAAACTTTTCACAAGATGAATATATCTTTTCAAAATCAGAATCATTTGCATAAAGAGATTTCATATGCTCAAACCCGAGTAACTTAGCATCAAGAGATGAGAGAAGAACATACCTCCATGACAATGCATCAGCAACAACATTGTCCTTACCTTTCTTGTATTTGATGACATAAGGAAAGGTCTCAATGAATTCAACCCACCTCGCATGTCTCTTGTTGAGCTTCTGCTGTCCTTTGAGATGTTTCAAGGACTCATGATCTGTGTGAATAACAAACTCCTTAGGCCAGAGATAATGCTGCCACGTTTGTAGTGCTTTCACCAAAGCGTAAAGTTCCTTATCATAAGTAGGATAATTGAGAGTAGCTCCTCCTAGCTTTTCACTGAAGTAAGCTATTGGCTTCTTATCCTGCATTAAGACAGCACCAATTCCTACCCCGGAGGCATCACATTGAATCTCAAAAGTTTTAATAAAATCAGGGAGAGATAAGACAGGGGCATTAGTAAGCTTCTCTTTCAAGGGCTGGAAAGCATCCTCTTGAGCCTGTTCCCACTTGAATCCCACGTTCTTCTTGATAACTTCAGTGAGAGGGGCTGCTAGAGTGCTAAAATCCTTCACGAACCGCCTATAGAAGCCAACAAGTCCATGGAAGCTTCTCACTTCTCCTACGGACTTCGGACGTGGCCATTCACGAATTGACTTGACCTTCTCTTCATCAACCTTGACTCCATCTGTACTCACAACAAAACCTAAGAAGACAAGGTTATCTGTTCCAAAAGTACATTTCTTAAGATTTGCATAAAGCTTTTCCTTCCTAAGAACTTCTAGAACCATTTTCAGATGATCTATATGCTCTTCTAGACTCTTGCTGTAGACTAGGATATCATCAAAGTACACTACAACAAAATGTCCTATATAAGCTCTAAGAACATGATTCATCAGTCTCATGAATGTACTAGGTGCATTTGTCAGCCCGAATGGCATCACTAACCATTCATACAACCCTTGCTTAGTCTTAAATGCAGTTTTCCACTCATCCCCTTCTTTCATCCTAATTTGATGATATCCACTTTCTAAATCTACCTTAGAAAAGATGCTAGAACCATGCAATTCGTCTAACATGTCATCTAATCTAGGTATAGGATGGCGATACTTAACTGTTATGTTGTTGATGGCTCTGCAGTCAACACACATCCTCCAGCTTCTATCCTTCTTAGGTACAAGCAATACAGGTACAACACAGGGACACATACTCTCACGAATATGGCCTCTCTCGATTAGCTCAACTACTTGTTTTTCTAGCTCCTTAGTCTCCACAGGATTAGTTCTGTAAGCTGGTCTGTTTGGCAAAGACGCTCCTGGAACAAAGTCTATTTGGTGCTCGATGCCTCTGATGGGTGGTAAGCCTTCATGATTCTCCTCTGGAAACACATCAGCATAATCCTGCAATAGAAACTTAATTTTGCTAGGGATGGCCTGCTCAGGATTAGTTATGCTCACGAGAGTCTCTTTAAAAACAAAGAGTAATTTAGATGAATGTAAATCACTTCCCTTTTGTTTACTCTCGGTGACCATGAGGGTAGATGATTTGTCTTTCTGTTTCTTCCTCATTTTCATACTCAACTGATCAAGATACACCTCATGCGGAGTCATTGGAGCCAGTATGGTTTTTCTACCCTTGAACTCAAAGATTTGACGATTGGTGAAGCCATCATGAGTTACTCTTCGGTCTGAGTGCCATGGCCTCCCAAGCAGAATATGACTAGCATCCATAGGTAGTATGTCACACAAAATTTCGTCCTCATGCTTTCCAATAGACAATGGTACCTTTACTTGTCTGTTCACACTCATTTCTCCATCCTCATTCAACCACTGCAGTTTGTATGGCTTCGGATGCTTCATGACTCTTAAACCAAGTTTCTCAACCATGGTCTCGCTGGCAACGTTGGTGCAACTTCCTCTATCTATGATCAAACTACAGACCTTGTCATTGACAATACATCTTGAGTGAAACAGATTTTCTCTTTGCTCTTGCTCATTTGTTTTAGCTATCACGCTTAAAGCCTTCATTGCAACCAACAGCTCTCCTTTAGATGGTGCTTCACAGTCTTCTGATGAGGAGCTCTCTTCTTGCTGCTCATCTGCTAACTCTATCTCACCAGTTTTTTTAAGTATCATGATTCTCTTGTTTGAACATTCACTAGCATAATGACAATGTCCGTGACACTTAAAGCACTTGATGTCTCTCGTTCTGGTCTCAACAGCTTTGCCCTTTCTTTTCTGATCTTGATCCTCAACCTTTGGCTTGACAAAGGGTTTGTAGTCTCTCTGAAACCCTGATCGCTCATCCCTTTGGTAGCTAGGCTTTCCTGAACTAAAGCTAGGCTTTCCTGAACCAAAACTAGACTTAGAGCTTCTTCTCTTAAGTTGTTTCTCGAACATGATGGCTTTGTGCAGCAGCTCTTCTAGCTCCACGTAGTGCTGAACTTCTAGTCTATCTATGATATCTCTATTCAGACCTCCCATGATCCTAGACATTGTAGCTTCATCATCCTCTTGAATATCTGCTCTCAGCATCAAAACTTCCATCTCTTTGTAGTATTCCTCAAGTCACTTGCTTCCCTGAACAAGATTCCTCAATCTGTTGTGTAGCTCTCTATGGTAGTGACTTGGCACGAATCTTTTCCTCATTATGGTCTTCATTTGAGTCCAGGTTTCAATTGGATAATCTCCAGCACGTCTCCTTGTAGTAACCAATTGATCCCACCAACTCAAAGCGTAGTTCTAAAATTCTGTTGGTGCCACTTTCACTTTGCTTTCTTCAGTGTATCCTTGACAACCAAACACTAGCTCAATTTCCTTGGAATGAAGGAATTCGTATCTTTAGGCCAGCTCGGTCATCTCTAGGTATGACTCTTTCTTCTCTGTGATGTCTCCTCCTTCTATGGCTGTTACGAGTAGAGGATTGACTGTAATAGTTGTGTGTCGCCTCTTAATCTGAAGGATTCCTTGTTTCTCTGTTCTGTCTTCCCTGGTTCGATCTCTCATTAGCTTCAAACCTTTCGTCCATCATTTTTGCCATGTTAGTAGTGAGAGTAGCTGTAAGGGTTGCTGTAAGAGCTTCCATCAACAGCTTGTTGCTCAGTGCCTGACTGCTTTCTTCCTTGTCTTTCTCAGACATGTCTACAATGATCAAAACATAAATAACCAGTAAAATACTCCTTGTAAATCGAGTAACAAAGCAAACAGAGTCTGAAAATTCGAAATCCTAAACAGCTTCTAATGAACCCTAATCGAGCAAGCATGGAAGTTGAATCGTTTTTTCCTGAATCATTCGATCGAGTACGTATTTGAATAGTTCAGAACGTGATCTAAACGATTTAACAAGTTTCATACAGATCAGATAAGTATTCAAGCCTAGAACGATGAAACAATTTCGCAAAAACAAATCAGAAGTCGAAAAGTTTAGATTGATACAACCTGACACGAAGTGGCTCTGATACCACGTAATATGATCTTGGTTAAAGATCTATGTCCCTTGAATACACTTCGTGAGGTTGGATGAAAACAGTTTGCGGATTGACTGTTTTGGAGTGGTTCTGGTCGAGTATAAGTTGATCTGGTCGAGTAGGAGTTAATCTGGGCGAGTAGGAATGATTCTGCTCGAGTGGGAGTGATTCTGCTCGAGTGGTAGTGATTCTGCTCGAGTAGGAGTGATTCTGCTCGAGTGGGAGTGATTCTGCTTGAGTGGGAGTGATTCTGCTCGAGTAGGAGTGATTCTGCTCAAGTAGGAGTGATTCTGGTCGAGTGGTACGAGTGATGGTGGGGTGATCGAGTGAAGAGAGTGAGATCGAGTAGATGGGGAGTTGAGGGGTCGAGTAGAACTTTCAAAGGCTGCGGGATTCCTTTGAACTTCCACGCTTGATTCTGCTTGGATATGACACACCAAGAGCAGTCTCAAGATGAGATCGTGATATTACACACACAAACTCAAGATCAAACGAATTCAGAAAGAGTTTTTGATAAGAAAATGTTTGATGTCGTTTACAATGGAGGAGAACCGAATATAAAAAAGAAGAAGAGAGTCTGGGGAGTTGAAGAGTTCACCTAAAACGAAATAAACACACAAGACTAAGTTTAAATTCGAAATGGGATCCTCCATGCAGATGGGCTCTGAGACAGCAATGGGCTTGAGTAAAAGAGTGTGTGGGCTTGCCTCATTAAAAACCTCTCTTGGAAAACCCATTGGGACAAAACCAAGAGGAGGGAAAAAGAGTGCAAGTCACACACCTCCATTGATGTCGCTTAAACGGCTTGAATCACAACCAGTGTGGTTGGACAAGCTTCTGGTTTAAGACTACCCTCAATGTGTTGTACAAGTGTGTTGATAGCTTGATTCAACTGCTTAGTCCTTGATCTTGTCATTGGTCCAGTAGCAACTTGCAATGCCACATCCTCTTTAGCTCCAAGATCTTCATCTCCATGCTCCTTAGCTCCATGCTCGATTAAGTGTTCCTCTGGTGCAATGTCCTGCTCGATCACATCTCCTGCTTGGTGGTCGAGTATGTCCTCTGGTACCTGTTGATCCTTAGTTCCATGATCCAAACTTCCCATTATCACATCATTCAATGCGAAAAACAAGTACTTAAACTTTTGTTCCTCACCCACTTCCACATATAAAACTGTATCATGATTCATCTTCTCTAACATGTACATATACGAATGCACAAGCCTAAAACCATGCTCTGGGGTACCTCGAATATCATTTGCAGCTGCTTTTTTTCCTCTCCACGCGGTAGAGTATGACACTTGCACACCAAATCGTCCTTGAACCAAATTAATAAGATCTTTTGGAGGTGGCATGGTAAGTTTACCCAGATAATCTTTAGTCAACAAAGAAGCAACCATAGTTGGTGTGCCTTTCCTTCTACTTCGCCGTCCGGTACTTGTACTTGACTGAGAGCATGAATGAATCTTTCTATGAGTTCGTATAGAAAAAGGCTTAGTCGTATCACGCCTCGCAGCTCTTATATACCAATCGCACCCATTATGTGCTTCTGAACATGCCACCATAGATCTCAACGGCTCCGACTTCTTTACAACAAACTCAAAGACATTATTATGTCCAGCCTTTTCAACTAAACTTTGTATTGCTTCTTTGCTTCTAAATTTCTGGCCTACCGTAATATCAATATCATCTTTCCATAAAATAGTTCCGGATGCATTCCCTTCTACATCTCTCTCTTCATTCTCCAGCACCGCTGGATATTGTTGTGATGGTTCTCCAACGTACATAGCAAGGACACCACCACCACTATCATCCGCTCCACCAACTAGAGGAACATCTTCATTATTTGCAACATTTCCTCTAACCAAATCCTCTCTTAAAACTTGATCAAACCCCTCATTTTCATTGATCCCCTGATTTTGTTCAACGTCATTGGTCACTTCGACATGCAATACACTTCTAAACCCTTCTTCACTCACATCCTCATAATAACACACAACATCTTCATCATCCCGAATATAATTTGGTCTTAGCTTACGTCCTTTGAATGTGAAAGAAAAGTAACTAACTCTCAGCTTTGTCGTAGCCTCATCTACCTTTTTCTTCCTACAAATCTTCAACAAATAATCCTATTTCAACAAATAATCCTATTCAAGCTACGAATTCAACTTAATTATACTACACTAAGAAAACAAGTATACTTACCTTACAATATGGTGGGAAGAGAAGAAGAAGAAGAGAAGAGATATGTCTTTGGAGATGCAAAATCGTAAGCTTTAATGGTGATCTTCAATGGTGGATGGAGAAGAAGAAGAAGAAGAAAAAGAAAAGAGGAGATAAGAATTTGGAGATGCTTAAATCGTAAGAAGAAGAAGAATTCGCTTTTAATTTGGAGATGCTTGAATCGTAAGAAGAAGGAGATACAGATCTTTTAATGGTGGATGGAGAAGAAGAAGAAGAAAAAAAAAAAAGAATGTCGGAGCTGCTGAAGAAGAATGTCGGAGTTGCTGAAGTCTCACGTCGGAGCTGCTGAAGAAGATCAAAGCTGTTGAAGAAGAAGAAGAAGAAGTATCTTAGGGTTTGAAGTATCTTAGGGTTTGAAGAGAGAAAAAGTATCTTAGGGTTTAATGTCGTAAAAAGAGAGACATTTGGTAGGTTTGGATTTTAGTGAGAGAAGAGAGAGAAATGATATGATTGGTTGAATAAAGAATGTGTTGGTATTAAATTAAAAGGTGCTTTTGTGCAGAGACAAAATTGGGGCATAAAATTGGGTAATCAACATTATGAAGTTTTGGTTTTCAACAAAGATAAATACAGTTGACAAATGGGCTTGGAGTTTGAAATATTTACAATAAAACCACCTATTTTTTTGTCATGTGCGTGGGAGAAACACCATTGACTTTAAGGGAAACGACAAACCAAACTGACATCTATTAAATGATCAACAGTAAAGTAACCTAATAAATAAATTATTTAATTTATTGCAAAAAACGTAGAACTAGCAAAATGAAAACAAAAACGTATGTAGAGTGTTATTAATATTTATATACATGAAAATATGTATGTAGAGCGTTATTAATATTTATATACATGTAACAACGTATATAGAGAATTATTAATATTTTTTTTTGTAAATATTTAAATATAGATCTACAAATTTGTTTGGACATCCATGCAAAGATCTATAATGCAAAAATACAGATCTAACTGAACCCATGGAGAGATACCAAGGAATTTAGATAAATAAATTATCAGAATTCTTTGGTGCGGTGAGTTAGATAGTATTTACGAGAGAGTGATTGCGAATTCTCTGGCACCGCGAAGTAAAGAATATATACGGCGAACCAGTTAAATCGGAATGAAGAGAAATTGAACAATGGTGCTAGAGAGATGATGAGACTTAGAAAAATGATGAACAAGCGAGATAAATGGACATCCAAGAATCAAAAAATAATAACGAATAAAATAATATCTGTGTCACATTACTTTTTAGAGTAAAATTCATTCGTTAAATATGTCTCGAAAACAACAATATAATCAAGTGTTTGTCTCATGTATTGATTTGGATCATTTTAAACTAGGTAAACGCGTGGGGTTAAAGTGGGAAGGATTGTGGGCTAATATTTTCATCGTTATGGACCCTCTAACAAATTACAAAAAAAAACTAATTTTGCCTAGATCTATGGTCTTTGACCCAATTATCTCTAAATTAAATGTAGATTTAAAGGATAAGCGGTAGAGTTGGTTTATGAAAAAATTGGGAAGGAGAGGGGGTAGTGAGAATAAAGAGGGGTTTTCCAAAAATTGATTCTTCCCAAAGGGGCTAGAGAAATTAAAATCCAAAAGCGTAAGGTAGCAAAAGTCTGGTTTTCAAGAGTTTATTAATGAGCTTCAGACGAAACCGACTAAATCCAACGGTAGTGATTTGGTGTTGTCTCCTAAACCAATAGTATAATCATAGATAGATATATTTTCAGAAAATAGCATTACAATATTTTGATGTAGGTAAATTTATGTTTGTAGAATAATTGCTTTAATTTCATGTCGTTTAATTTATCAATTTTTTTTAGTAATTTATTTTCTGTACCATAATATATTTATTTTAGGTACCACTATCCAGTTCAACGGTCAACCCAATCCGACCGCTCGGATCGGTCCGAACTTTAAAATATGTACTGATGAAACCATTATTATTTCTAATATTCATAAACAAGATTGAAACCAAACTGAATAATAAACCAGTATGAATTAGGATTATCAATTTTATACCCAAAAAATATGTGTACAAACATAATCTCGCACAAATATGTTTTACAAAACACTAGATCATAACCCCGCACGTTACTATATCTTTTTATAAGTTTTGCGGGATAGATTTTTCGTGGGTCAAAGTTTTTTAAAAACGAGGTGGAACCTGCTTAGCGGGTGGGTTTGACCCGCTTGACAATCCGGTTCACAAAGTTTTAATTTTTTTGGCGGTTGTTTTATCCAATTTGATAGCTCACGAGTTGAATAAGAAATACAACTGAGCACTGATCCAGTTGACAGTCAATTTCCGGTCCGAGCTTCATAGTGAAACCATTATTATTTCAAACATTCACAAACCAGATTGAAACCAAACCAGTTTAAATTTGGGTTATAAATGCTATACCAAATAAATTTATCTACAAACATATACGGTATATATGTTATGAATGAGAAGATATAACATTTGTTCAATTTAACATTATAGAAATAAAACTAATTTGTTTATTACACAAAAAAAATTACTTTGATCATTTATCTATATACACTTCCCTTAGTCAATCATAATGCCCAACACTTATTCAATTTTTCTCTACATTTTACACCGACATTTACACTTCTAAACTTTATGTTCCTATAATTTTGATTAAAATTGATACCGAAATCTAATTAAAACCAACTATTTACAAAAAAAAATTACAAACAAAACAACTCTATACATAAATACACAACCACAAATATAACCCCGCACGTACGTGCGGGTTCAGATCTAGTTATCTATCAATTCAAGTCCATTAAAAACTCCAATCCAATAACAACCCCTTATATTTTTTAAAAAAAATTCAACACTTGGTAATGCGGAAAAAAAATCTACTTTTACTATTACATGGATGATATGATGATTTATTTGTTTCACAAAAATAGAATCATATAAAGATGAGAGGTTGAGTATAATGATTAATAACAAATTAATATGCTAAGTTAGATATTAAATCTTATATGTTCATTTTGATTGGTCATTTTTTTTTATTAATAATGTATTTTCATTTTATAATTAAATTAAATTAATTAAATTGTATAAATTAGTATTTGACATGTTTATCCTTAATGAAGTAAATTAATTTAATCTTTCAAATTTTTATCTCTAATAGCATGGTTAAGTAATTACTTATAAAAGTAAGGTTACTTTCTAATATGTACTCCCCAAATAATAGTACTGTATAAGATATCCCTATATATATATATATATATATATATATATATATATACATATACCTAATTAAATCTTCATGACCATATTTATATATATGCTGCGAAAAGTTAAATCATAAACTATAAATCTTGAAATTTAAATTCTGAATCTTAGAAATTAATTCATAAACCATAACCACTAATAATTAACCATTATATTTTCTTCTAAAAACAATTTACTTATAAATAAGGGAAAACTGACAAAATAGCACTAAAATATGTTTTTTTATCCAAAAACAGCACCACATTTGCAAAGTTCTACAAATAGCACCAAAACCTTTAATTTTAAACGTTAGATTTAATTATAATTAATTAATTAGAGTAATTAAATTTTAAAAATAAAGAAAAAGTAAAATATTTCCGCAAAAATTTATTTTTCTAGCCAAAAAATTTCCATAACGTGTAAAAGTTTTCATGCCAACCTTTGTTTGTCAAAAATTTTTCGCAAAGCCAAAAAAATCCCATCAAAACTTTCTCGCCAAAAAATTTCACAAAATTCAGGAAGAATTCTACGAAATTCAAGAAAGGTTCCTAGAATTTCATAGAATCCTTTCGGAAGCTCAGGGAATTCTTCCTAAATTTCATGGAATCCTTCAAGGAATCTTTCATGAATTTCAAGAAATCTTTTCTGAATTTAGTGGAATCCTTTCTAAATTTTGTGGAATTCTTCCTGAATTTCGTGGATTTATTTGGCGGAAAATTTTTAACGTAATTTTATTTTGCCGGAAATTTTTTGTTGCGGAAAATTTTGGCGGAATTTCTTTTTGGCAGGAATATATTGGTGATAATTTTTGGCGATGAATTTGTGTAATTTTGAATTTTTCAATTATTAATTTTGAAAATTAGAATTTAAATAAAGAATATGCCACTAATAAGAGTGTAGGTGTAATAATTAGTTTTTATATGATATATTATCTCGATTTTCTTTTCAACATATGTATAAAACGAAGATTTGATTTTGATTGTATGGTTTATTGTTAGCATTTAATCATCATTATTACACTTTTTATCTCGCAAAATTCTAACATGAAAGATTGACCTATCTATAAGCAAAACAAAAGGCTTAAGTGAAGATCCGAGGAAGATCCGCGGAGATAAAGTGATCTGATCCAGTTTGTAAGCGAGATTTTAATTTAAATTTTATCTTGAGTTTATCATTTATAATATTTAAAACAATGATATTTCATTGTAAATGCTTTCGGAAACCAAAGCTTTTTTAGAAATGTATTTTGGAAATATGTATATATATATATATAAATATAATTAATTTGGTGAAAGAAAAAAAATTAAAGGCTTGATTGACAAGTACAAAGCAAAAAAAAATCAAAAGCTTTGAAATAAATCCAATTAAACTTTACAAAAATTTTACTTTTTTTTAGCACAACCAAAAAAATTCCTTAATTATTTTTTTGTTGTAGAAAGTATTTTTTTTTTAAACACCTAATTTTAAGCTTTCCAAAATTTTAAATGTTACAACAAAACTACTACATCACTAAAATGTAGAATCACAGTCAAAATATCTATAACCTAAAATCTACAACCAAAAAATCTAAAATCACAGTCAGAATCACTCATGGAATAACTTTATAATTAATGTTTCGTAGACAAATGAAAAAAAAAACCAATGAGTTCCTTTTTTTTTGAACATCTGATTTTATAAAGATGAAACAGGATTACAATTGGTCATACAAAAGGAACCACTCCAAACCTGCAAGTGATACACTTACCAATCAAAGCTATACTAGGAGCTTTTCACATAATGATAGGCCTATACAAAAGAATCAGCTTTCCAAAAAACCAACCGGCTACCACAAACTTCCAAACAAAAAGAGGACTAGGGTCTCTCATCAACAAAAACACCAAAGAGCCACGACGGATACCCCGCTGCAACATAACTATGAAGTCTAAGATCACTGGTGACACTTTGTGAAATGAGAGAAGCTTTTCTATTCGCAGCATTTGCTTCTACAACCAACTTCCACTCTAAATCTCTAACCAACAGCCTGCGAATCTCCTGAGACTGAAACCAAAAAGAAAACCATGCTTTTGGTCTGTTCACCACTCCTACCAAGGCCGGATCCTCGATGGCAAACTGTACTCTAAAAAATCTGAGACTCTTCATACTCTCAACCCCCCCCCCCCCCCCCCCCCCCCCCCCCTCCCCCAAAAGCAGGGCTAAAAACTCAGCATCAAAAGCATCCTTCACATTAACAAAGGAATTTCTTCCATGGACTAACACTAGTCCCTCACTGTTTCTGACTACCCAAGACGCTCCTGCAATCTTAGTAGCTTTCGACCATGACGATCCAACATTGCACTTAAGCCAATCAACCGGAGATGATTTCCATCTTTTGTTTTCCTTTTCACTTCTTGGACTAACCTCTCACGCTACCACAGTACCCACAACACACTCCTCTTCAGGCTCCACAACTTGAGCTTCAGTCCATTCCATCACATCCTCTCTGATTTTTATCTCCAAATCCAGAGCAATTGAACACTTACCTTCAAAAACCAAGGCATTTCTGTTTATCCATAGTCACCAAAGAATCCATGGGAAACTCTTTCTGATCTCCTTAGCCAGTCCTTATTTTTCCTATTCAAAAAGAGATGATGAATATTTGAAAAAACAGCACCATTATCTAATCCACGCTGAGGAAAAGGATAATCCGAAAGGGCCCATACTTGTCTTGCAAAGGAGAAAGAGAACAGAACATGACCACAACTCTCCTCCTCTAAACCACAAAGCTGACAGGTTGGATTTATCTTCATACCCCTACAATTAAAGGCTTTAGCAACATTTAAGCAACTAGAAATAGCCTTCCATATAAAAACTTGAATCTTTGGATCTGTAGGGATCTTCCAGATCTAAAATTTAAGCTCATTTGTTGTGGGAAGAGCCCCGAAGCACCAAGAGACACTTTAGAAACAACATCTTTTCCAGAGAGCTAATATGCAGATTTAACAGAGAAATCACCTGATTTATTGAATTTCCAAGTATAGAAATCCTCTCTAGACACCACTGGTCTAGTCCTTTTTATCCTGCAAATGTCATCAGCCAGAAAGTTCTCCTCCAAAGCAAAATGATCCCAATCTCTCGTACTGGAATTAATGAGGGCATAAACTTTAAGTCTAACATGAAAGGGATTATTTTTCCTAAGGGGCTCTCATGCCATCATCAGCAATCCATTGATCAATCCATTCATTCATCGAAGCACCATTGCTAATCTTTTTTTCAATTCCCTTTTCCAACAAAGCTCTCACGTGCAAAAAACTTCTCCATGCAAATGAAGGTCTTTTATCCTCAGCAGCGTTCAGGAAATTAGTGGAAGGGAAGTACCTGCTTTTCATAATCCTAGCAAAGAGGCAATCCGGTTCTTGTAAGATTTTCCAGGCTTGTTTTGCCAAAAGTGCCTGGTTGAATCTGGGGATATCTTTGAAGCCAAGACCCCCTAGAGGTTTAGGAAGGCAGAGTTTCTCCCAACTCACCCAATGCACTTTTCTTGAATGTTCTTCTGTACTCCACCAAAAATCTGCCATTGCAGCCACCAAATTATCACATATAATTTTTGGTAACATGAAACATGACATAGCGAAAACCGGCATGGCCATTGCCACAGACTTCAAAAAAACTTCTTTACCCCCCTAAGATAGGTGCCTTGCATAACAACCTGACAGTTTAACCTTCAGTCTATCTTTTATGTAATCTAGTAAGTCCACTTTTGAACCACTAAAACATTCAGGTAGACCTAAATAAGTTCCAGCACCACCTTCTTTGAAAATGCTAATCCTGATTTGAATATCAATCTTCACCACATGATTGACCTTTGCTCTAAAATTAATAGATGATTTGTTCAAATTTATAGATTGACCAGTGGCTTTACCATAGACAAAGAGAATCTACTACAATACTCTACTCTGATCTAAATCCGCCTTACACATGAACAGACTGTCATCAGTAAAAAGTAGATGGTGAACTTCTGGTCCTTGTTCATTGAAACGATTGCCATTGATCTTTCCTTCTGATTGAACCTTATTCATCAAATGTGTGAGCCCTTCAGTACAAAGCACAAAGAGAAAAGGAGATAGTGGATCCCCTTGTCTAAGGTCTCTTTGAGGAGTGATGAGCCCAAACAGTTGGTCATTAATCAGAACGGAAAAGGTCACAGTAGTGATACACGCCATTATCCAATCAATCCATCTGATAGTAAACCCTAGAGCAATGAGTAAGGCCCTTAAAAAACTCCATTCAAGTCTGTCGTACGCCTTTGACATGTCAGACTTTATTGCCATAAACTCAGAAGATATTGCAAAATTAGTCCTGAGGCCATGCACTAGTTCATGAGCAATCAAGATATTATATGTGATCAATATTTCTGACACAAAGGCAGATTGATTCACAGAAACAATATGAGGGAGCAATGGTTGTAATTTCTTGACAATAACTTTGGATATGATCTTGTATAGTACATAGCAGAGACTAATAGGACGCAAATTAAACATTTCTTCAGGATGATGAGTCTTTGGAATTAAGCACAAATGTGTGAAGTTCCATTCAAAGGGCATGATACCTGAAGCAAAAAATTCCTGAACTTCAGAAGTTACCTGAGGGTCCACGGTAGTCCGGTATCTTTGAAAGAACAGGTCTGACCTCCCATCAGGGCAAGGAGCACTAACAGCTTGTATAGAAAAGACTGCCTCCTTGATTTCTTCTGTAGTCACAGTAGCCGTCAACCCTCTATTCATCTCATAAGACACTTTAGGTATAAACCCTTGAAACCACTCCTGGAAACTATCAAGATTGGAGGACTTGAACAGATCGTGGAAGTAATCTGAAGCTACCTAACCCTTTACAGCTTCTGATCTCTGAAAAATACCATTCCGATCTCTGAAAAATACCATTCCGATCTTTTAGCTTCTCTGTTCTCTTTCTTGATCTGTTATCTTTCAAAGACATATGAAAGAACTTTGAGTTCCTGTTTCCACATCGCAGCCACTTTTGTCTAGATTTTTGATACCAGTACAATTCCTCTTTCCTATAGGCAATATCAGTTCTCTTTTTAGTATCCAGATTTTTTGAAGACAAAGCCATACCTTAGATTGAGTTTTTTTCCAATTCCCTCTCAAATATTTGGATCTTGTCCTAAGCATTCATATTATTTTTCCTCTTCCATGAACTCAGATGTTTTCAATCTAACAGAAACCGTTGTCCTTGAGCAGGAGACTCTAGCATTCCAAGATTTGAAAATTGCTGATTTTACCTTAGGCTTGAAAAGAAACCTCTTGTCAAAACGGAACTGTCCTCTATAAGAATCATGTGAAGAGATCAAACTCAAAAGCACTATCAGCTTTTATAGAAAAGACTGCCTCCTTGATTTCTTCTGTAGTCACAGTAGCCGTCAACCCACTATTCATCTCATTAGACACTTTAGGTATAAACCCTTGAAACCACTCCTGGAAACTACCAAGATTGGAGGACTTGAACAGATCCTGGAAGTAGTCCGAAGCTACCTGACCCTTTTCAGCTCCTGATCTCTGAAAAATGCCATTCCGATCTTTTAGCTTCTCTGTTCTCTTCCTTGACCTGTTATCTTTCAAAGACATATGAAAGAACTTTGTGTTCCTGTTTCCACATCGCAACCACTTTTGGCTAGATTTTTGATACAAGTACAATTCCTCTTTCCTATAGGCAATATCAGTTCTCTTTTTAGTATCCAGACTTTTTGAAGACAAGGCCATACCTTAGATTGAGTTTTTTTCCAATTCCGTCTCAAATTTTTGGATCTTGTCCTAAGCATTCATATTATTTTTCCTCTTCCATGAACTCAGAGCTTTCCTACAAGCTTTCAATCTAACAGAAACTGTTGTCCTTGAGCAGGAGACTCTACCATTCCAAGATTTGAAAATTGCAGATTTTACCTCAGGCTTGAAAAGAAACCTCATGTCAAAACGGAACTGTCCTATATAAGAATCATGTGAAGAGATCAAACTCAAAAGCACCGGTCTATGGTCTGAACCTCTTATATCCAAAAAGGTTTGATTTGAAGCTGGAAAATAATCAAACCACTCATTATTGCCAAAAGCTCTATCTAATCTACACTGGATCCAATGATCCCCTCTTCTTCCAGCCCATGTAAGCTTGTTATCTGACTTGGCAATTCCACCATATCACAAATAGAAAGCATCTCCGAGAATGGCTTGAAATAAGAGTCCCTTCTTCTTGGACCTCCTATCTTTTCACCATTATGTATAATGGCATTGAAGTCACCCACCTTACACCATCTATCCTTTCTACTGATGCCCAACCTACAAAGTCTTTCCCAAACACCACTTCTCTTATTGCAATCTGGCTCCCCATAAACACAAGAGAGATAAAAAAATTTCTTTCCAAACTGAACTTGTATATCAATCAGATTTTTGTCCATATGTAAGACATCAATCTGAATATTACTCTTGCAAAACAAAGCCAAGCCACCACTCTTACCATCCGGATCCACTGTCCACACTCTCTCATAGCCCAAGCAAAACTTGAAGATCTACCAAAACATCACTTTTATTAATAGTTTCCATCAAAAACAGAATCTCAGGGAAGTGTTTTTTACGCAACTCCTTGAGATGGGGAATTGCTAAGTGTTGAGACCGTCCCAAGCCTTGACAATTCCAGCTAATTATGCTCATTGGGCGTTAGGCAATCCCCCCTTTGGGATCACCTCTTGAGGGTTAAGCTTTGAAAACTTTGTAGTGCTTGTACCCTCCTCATCTGCTTTTCTTTTTGGCTTCTCTCCTTTCTCTAAACCCAAAATCTCCTTCATCTTCTCTGGTGCTAGATTGGGAATGAAAGGTTTAGGTTTTCTTTTGTTTTTAGTTGGTCTTCTCCTTGTCTTGACCACTTTCTACACAATCCCGAAAGATCATGCCTCATAGAGACCAGGACTAAAAACCGTTAAATTATACTGAAAAGGTTGAGAAAGAGCAAGGAAAGAAGACTGACTATCCACTGGGATATCCGTTTCTATTAACCAGCTTCTCTCTTGACTGACCTTAACCGCACTCTCCTCTAACAATTGACGACTAGCAACTGCAGCATGAGCATTCAACAAAGAATTGGGACTATCATAATTGAAGACCAAACCTTTTTCTTTTGACACCTCATTGTAAATAATTGGCAATGGCTCCAAACGAAGGATGGTTTTCTGAGCTATTGGATCTTTTTCAACTTCACCAACTGATTGTCGCACTCTATCGATTCTGATTAACTTTTCCTCTTCACTTGAAACCCTCAGATATTGACGCATTCCTTCAAGAACAATGGGAGAAATCTTTAGCCTTCAGTACTAGGATCAATGCCAACTTGGTTTTCTCCAAGCACTCCAAATAAAGGATCAGATTTCTTCAGGATTGGAATTTTCTTCTGCTTATCAAATGATCCCCCAGCTTTTCTAGCCACAGCTGCCTCCTCGCGTCTATGAATGAGTATTGGACATAAATCCTTCTCGTGTGTCATTCTCTGATATTCATAGCAACTTTTCTGGACCCTTTCATACTCAAGGTATACAGAAGCAGTTCCACCTCTAGGAAGATTAACCACCTTAGATCTTCGTAGTGGCCTAGAAACATCAAAAATAACTTTGACTCGCACAAATTCTTCAATCTGGGCTTATCGGGAGTAAAAACGAGTTCAACTACTTGCCCAATCTGATCTCCTAGCAGAGTAATAACCTTCTCAGTGTAATAGTTGATAGGAAGGTTCCAAATCTGGATCCACAGAGGGATGAATTGGAGATAATTGTCCAGAAGAACTTCATACCATCTGTTAACGACCATCGTACATTCATTCAATGTATGGACACCTTTAGCTAAAACCTCCTCTAAATCGTGTTCCGAGTTGAAGAAGAACTGGAATCTCTCCTTAGAAAGAGCCACACCTCTAACTCTCCCTTCTTTTTGCCACTTCCTAGCATATTGCGAATTTAATTCTTCATAGGTTGACAATCAGGATTGAGGGTATGACCCACAAGACTCAAAACTTTTTCCTTGCACAACGAGTAATCCGGTAAGTCATGCATCTCGAGAGGAAGATCTTCTTCTTCAAGAGACATTGCCATCATGGCTCTGTCCATCGTCGACGACAAGACGAAAGCTTAACACCGAGGCCGAAATAAACAACACCAATATTAAACGAAACCAAGCAGATCTGAAAGATAAAGGACTAAACCACACACTGCTGGAAGGAATTTTCGAAATGAGAAATGAGCTCTTCAGGATCTAAGAAAGATTTCAAGAACCCTAGAACGTGTTTTTCGAGAAAGAGAGGAATAAAGGATAAAATACACTTAAACAGGTAGAAAACAACTGAAGGGATAGTGTTTTAATCCAAACTATGCTCTATTCCACACTAATGAAAGACACTAGTTTAGAAAGAGGGTCTTAAGCCCAAATAAGGGAATCTCTTGAAATCGTTTTTTCTCACATGACATTGAAAAACCAATGAATTCCTAAACTATCATTTTGTTTAAGTTTGATTTATCAAACAAAAGAAACAAAAAAAGACGGCAGAAGGGTGGGTTATTTTTAAAACTTTACAAAGCAAAAAAGTTTCTAAAGCTTTGAAATAAATCCAATTAAGCTTTAGAAAATTTAGTTTTCTTTTTTTACCTACAACCAAAATATTATTTTAATTTAAATTTTTTTTACTGTAAAAAATAATTTTTTCTCTAAAACACACAATTTTAAGATTTCCAAATTTTAAATTTTACTGCAAAAATACTACAATACTAAAATCTACAATAATAAAAAATCTAAAGTCCCATCAAAAACTAATCTGGCCTAAACAATCATTTTAAAAAAATTTGATTAAAAACAAAAGAAACAAAAAAGACGCAGAAGGTGGGTGATTGGGTGTATTCGCTGGGGATCCGACCCGGAAATTACCCTAAACAGCCCAGGCAAAGTGTTCCATCGAGAAAGACGAAACTTATACCAGAAGTAGCAAAAAACCCCAATCAAGTTTTCGATTCGAGAGATAGGAGATTTTCGTACAACAAACGATGAAACCAGTTGGTGAAGAAGAATCTTCTTCTTCGATTCATCACGATTCTTCTATCCCTTCCGGTGATAACTCCGTCTGGGCCGATGTTTCACCTCTCCTCTCCGCCGCCTGCACTGGTACTTACTCTCAGGGACTGATTCGATTCTTTGGTTTTGGACTTTGGATGATACCAATTTGCCTATTTTTCTTGTCTTTCCCACTTGTTTCAGTTTCATGAGATTGTATATAAAAAAACCAGAGTCTTCTTTTTGCAGATCTTCAAGAGGGTGAACTCATAAATGGAGATAATTTCAATCTTTTTGCTGCCATGTCTGCTTTGGAGGTTCTACACTTTTTAATCTTACAAGATTGCCTCTTATTGTTCCTATTTGGAAAACAGATAGCTTCTGGTCTCACTAGTTAACATATTTTCTAAACGATGCATTGCCTTCTTTATTAATGATGAAAAATATGTTTATAAAATGGTAGCATCCTTTGATTTTAAGATCTTTAGTTTGTTAGGGATGTCTAGACTGCATTTAGCTCTAAACTTAACTTGTAAGGTTGCCATACATCATATCTTATTGATTTCATTGTAGAATTTCAAACTCTTTTCCATTGACAAATGGTGTCCCTTGCTTTGTATTAGATTATGGACCCAAAGATGGATTCTGGTATGGTGTCTACCTTTTATTCAATAGATGAAGCCATCGAAAGTGGTTTTGCGCCCGTACCTATAAGTTCTGATAGTACTGTTAATGTTCAATCCATCATTGACATTATGGATCATCTCCTGGCGTGCGAGGTAATCTTTGTTTTATATGTGCTAAAATAATACTATGTGAGTTTGTAAGATAGAATTTTGACTATATATCATCTCATAGTTTCCTTTTCCTAGGAGAATTAATCACTTCTCAATTGAAACTTCTGATAACGAGATCTCTATGTAGCTAATATCTCCGCCTTGGAGTTGCTTTATCCACATTTTGGGTCTTTTTTTTTTTATAGTGTTAAGTGCACAAATATGTTACCTGATTTTGGTTGATGTTTTGTATCTTCCTTATTATTTCTCTACTCTTTTGCAGGCAACGTGGCACATGGGTCATTCATTGGCCCAAACTGTGTTTTCATGCATCTATGTTCTGAGGCCTGAGAGGACATCTTCACAGGCTCTATTACATTCTTATTGTAGGGTCATCCGAGCAACTTGCAGGGCAGTTGTTTCTGTTGTTTCAGATGCACGTACAAATGAAGTAATTAACTTTAACAAATCTTTGGTCCTCTTTAATCTTGTGGTGCTAAGCAAATGATTCTTTATGTTGTTTTATTTATTTATTTCATTAACGGTTTAGTTTGTGTTCAATGTTTGCTTCTAAGATCTTTTGATATGTCCAACATTTTTTTCTGGCGGATTGAAAAACAGTTGCTTACCCATTTTGACATTTCATAGTAGTCAGTAATCGTAAGCTCTATCTGAGTTAAAATGTTGATGTTCTTAGTTTAATGTAGAAGTCACATTTTCCTGCTTGGAGACATGAGAGCCAAAAACAGGATTCACTTTACTCTACTCTTCTAATGAAGTCTTTGCATTCATTCTCATCTAGCCTAAGCAGTTGATTTTCTTAATCTTGAGATGATTAGCAGAGTGTATAACTTATTTTTGTAGAAATTTCCACCATTGCGCAGCTAAATGAAGATAAAAATTGAGAAGATTTGTCGTGATATTTTGGATAGAAGTTTCTTTTAACTTGGCCGAAGCCCCTGCTGTCATGGATATTTTACACTGAATGATTCACCTGTTACCTGCATATTGACAGGAAGAGGATCTGTTTACCATGACATACGGTCTTCCTTTTAGTGGAGATGAAGATGCCAAGGGCTTGTTACTTTTGAATGCGGTCGAAGAAACAATCTGTCGTCAGCTGCGTGCTTGTAAGGCCACAAGAAGAAGAGTGTTAGAAGGTACTTCTTTGCATATCTTCCTTTTTTATTTATTTTGCAGAATAGAAATACAAAGAGAGTATTCATATGATGGGATTGAAGAATTATATTATTTTGCTTCTTTTCTTTATTATGTTGTTTACACATATAATGGTGATTTGGGATTTGGAGATAGTATAATGCATTGGAATTAGATATTTTGCAACTGATCTCTAAGCATATACCAACTTGGAATTAGCCTACCTGGCCTATATACGATAACTTTGAGTCTTCTACTGAGTACTGAGTAATGATCATTACAATTGATTTTTTCTTTGGAAAAATTACCATCTCTTTGAGTGATATGGTCTATTGTTTATTTGTAACAATGTTGCACAGCAGCACAAACTGAGAAGTGAGACCAACAACTTTCTTTCTTTTTTTTTTGGGTTAAAAGATGCAGAATTGGAACCTCTACAAACTAATCCCCATCTGGAAGAGAGTTTTTGCAAATCTCTGTTATGCCGGATACGTTTCCGTAAGGTCTCATGCTTTATTTATTCTTTCTTTGATAAATATTGTTACATTTATTTGTTAATTACGGGTTTTCTCAACTTAAGTCATGTTAACTGGTGTATGATATAGTCCCAAGTCTGTTCCTTATACAGTATTCTGGTGGCCATCGATGAACAGAAGTTTTTTATTGCTTACTTTGAAAAAGATAAACTACAATTAGTAGTTAATATGTGCATTTGGTTTTTTATCCAGTGTTAAATCTGTCCCTATAACTAACTACACAGAACATGAGTATGATGAGTTGCTTTTCTTCAACCTAACCTAACAATGGGGAGTGGTAAACAGAGTTACTATATGTTTTATGGTGTCATATTTTCTATGTTATGCAACTGACAAGAATGAGCAAGCTTAGCTGAGACTAAATTTTGAATATATTGCAGCTTTAGTTACCTGTTTACCCTCATTTATGGTTAGAAATACTCGCCAGACATGTGAGTAGTGATGTAATTATTATTTTGTTTCGTAAGCCATTTTTAAAAAAAAATTTAGTAGCTGTTATGGACTTTTGCATTGCTAGTTGTTTTAACATTTTCTCAATAATTTCAGCATTTTCTACATGCTCTTAATTGTATGAGACGACCACAAGGACGTGGCCTCGAATTGGCAAGGAAACATATAGCCTATTGCATATCAGAGCTAGATTCTGTTCTGGAGTCGGAAGATTTTTTAAGATTAAATATTGTCGAAAATGGCGGAAACGAGATAGAAGAAAGTACAACTGCTTCTGGTCGCTCCCCCATTGGATTTGATCCTACTTTAAACAAAAGATTATCAGCTCCAACGCCGCCACGTGCCATTAAACTTCTTTCTTGGAAAAAGGTTGGGACTTCCGAATTCTCTGTATACTTAATATATTTTGTGTGTATAAAATTTTTTAGTAACTTTTTTTCAATTTTTGATTTTCCAGGCTATTGACTATTATGTGAAACTTCTTCACAATCTGGATCAGATTTGTGTATTCTCATTGGAACCAGATTTAGAGGCCGTTTTGCAGTTTTTGATTCAGTTTCAAAAATCTAGTCCTGATTTGGTTGCCAGGGCTCATCTTCAGGTGCCTTACTATACCTTTAAACATCAATATCTTGCAGCTCTGTGCTTTCGGATACCCATACATCATTTCCTTTTTCTTGTTGGAGTAAATATTTTGGCTGTGGTTGCATGGATGTTCACATACATCCACTAGGGTGTGTTTGTATAGTGGAATATATGGCTTCTTTTTTTTACCCGCTTCCTTGCTTTGCAGTTTTGTGTTTGTTAGCACTCATTTTCACTTAAGAGTTGAGTGATTGAGCTGTATGACTATAGTAGAATTCTCCTTCTGTAAAAACAGTTGCAGAAACTTAGAACCGATGGATTAGAGAATATCCAACTCTCGTGAACCACCTTTCCCAAGTCAAGCCCCCTTCCCCAACAGGCCTGTTGAATCCTCTGCTTATTCTCCTTGTTGATTCTATACTATTCATGCTATCTAGATTTTAGTTATGTTGACGCTGGAATATCTAGTGGCTGACATTCTCTTTTTTCTTTCTTATGAAGACTTATAAGAATATTGATCCAATATATGTAGTTGAGGTTGATTCTGATTGTAAATTTCTGTTGAGCATTGATATGGTGGTCCATTTTTATAAGCAATATTCGTGAATAATTTATGTATTAAGCTAGCATAATGCTTTTACCTTTTATACTCAGTAAATTATCTTGTTCTACAGCTTCTCCTTGTGCAAGATGGGAAACTTTACGGCCGTGATACCTTTTTGACAATTTGCGCCAGATCTCTTGCATTAGATGTCTCCAAGAACCATGGCCTTCATACGAATGAGTACATTCTTCAACTTAATCAGGTAGACACAGTTTATTAAAAAAATATGTTGGGTACATTTGTTTTTCTTTCTAAAAACGTGTATGAGGTAGCTCTTTATTTTTCCTTGAAAAGGGTTTGAAACTTGGTAAAACCTTGCAAAGAATAATCTTTTATTGTTTTTGTTTAATATTCGGTGTCTGGCTTATAAGCCACAATCTCAGAGAATTTCAGCATGTGTGGATGTAACTAATTTGCAATGATCAAGAAGATTGAAAAAAACAAAAAATTACTGGTTTTTATGGAGACTTTGATGAGAATGCCTGGTCTTAATGCTTTGGGTTTTGGTAGCCTCTGGATCTTGAAAAAGTAATAAATGGATAAATTTTTAACTGGCTTCTTCCTTAGAAAGCTCTATTTGATCTCTGTTCTCATTTTGCGGTGCAGTTGATGGTTAATCTGCTTAAAATACTATGTGCTAATACCCCATGGCAGAGGCGTAAGCTTGGGAAAATCTTAAATGACTGGAGCATATTCCATGTGCAGGTTATACCATTTGTGCCTTTGTTGGAACTGTATTATTCTTTACTTAGCTATATGTAAGCTTGCTTACCCTAAAATTGTGTGCATACTGATTTGGGTTTTTGTGTCAAGATCTCATTCATACATGTTCCTTTATTTGGCAGATGGGGATTGCTGTTGGTCAAATGATGCAGCATGATACATCACGTGCTTCGAAAAATGGGGTAGGTTTACTACCATCACTATGCGTTGCAAAGATGCCAGGTCCATATAATCAAACTTCTATCTGAATCTAGTTGATGGCTCATTGTTAGTAGGAACAAACCAGTAGTCTAAATTCCTACAACTTTTGTTTTTCTCCTTCAGAAAATTTTGGCTCTATTGATAAGCAGATATTGAATATTGTATTAACTTGCATCTATGTACCTTTCAGGATAAGTCTCTACTCATTTTAAACCATATATATGGTGGATTAGATGAGCAAATTAATTGGGTGGCCATTCGCTTTCTCATGCTGGGATTTGACCTCGACCTCTACTCACCAAGTGAATATTGCATGGTATACTGGTACATGTATATTATACTCTGGAAGCTTGCTGAAAGAGCACGTTTCAGGGTCTTAATCGTTGTCAACACTGGTAAACATTCATATATCCATTTGTTTTTATTTTGTATCCCAGTGTTTCGAAGATGAACCATTTTGCACAGTAGTTGGTTTGGCATAACTGCATAGTGTATTTGTATCTTTGTATAATGCACTTACCATATTCTTGTTCAGAGGAAAGAAAAGCAAAGAGGAATAAGGAGTATTCTAGGGACATGGCTCGGGAAGATCGGATTAGTCTATGGGTGTTGTTTCTCAAATGTCAGACTTGCCTTGCACAAGGCCTCACAGTGGTACTTTTTTCTTCAATCTCTTGGTTTCAAGCTTCATATATTGCTGATATCAAGTACTCTAAACCTGACCGAAACTTGTGTTTACCCGTAGATGATTGCGGCTTTGAGAAATGAAGGGATGTGTTTAAAGAGTCAAGGACCTTTCAATACCGAAAATGAGGTAAGCATAAGTCCCTTTATCTGTTGCATAGTTGTTGTATTAAGGTGTAAGATACAAACCCTCAGCCTTAGTAGTAGGTGATCGGTTCTATCCCTTCCTGTGTATGACTTCAACTTGCCATTTTCCTCAACATGCAGAAATTTATTCAACATTTTGAACTCCTTCAGAAGGCATCGCTTCCCGAATATGACGCATATGAATCATTCTCAAAATCCACATCTCATGCTCGTCTCGACGTAAGTTTTCTCTATACAACTTTGTTTTTATGCTCAATCTTATTTTTTTTGTCAGATAAACTGTAGAAGTAGGCATGTGCATTAAGGGTAGAGGGTCAGGTTATAGCGGGTAAGGGTTGAATATGGTGTTATTTCAGGTATCTAAATCTACTACCCAAAGCATACACTTAAAAAAAGGGTTGGGTAATTCGGGAATGAGTAGTGTAAAGGTAGTTCGGGTACCTACAATCACTATCTGATTACTACCATAAATCACAATATCTTGAGTAAGGTTCAGGTAATTCGGAAAATACGGAAAAATCTAGGATTCACAATTTATTTAAAATATGTACATGTAGGATTTATCATTTAACTATTTGATTAAAACCAATAACTTGATTAATAAATATAAACACAAAAAAATGAGATCCCAATTTTGATTGAGCAAATATAGGTAATGTTTACTATGTTTTTGTGATGAATGTGTACATCTACTATGTTCGAATGGAAACAGTTTTGAACATGTGAGTAAAGTTGTATCCATTACTTTTGCCGCAGTATCTTCCTATGTATGAGTACTTTCACGATGCTCAAAAGATCGCTAAGGACATAAAGGTCGGTTATGCCAATGACCCTGATAAACTGGCTGAAGTCCAAGGATTAGAGAAAGTCGCGGAACGCAATATTGTTGCTGTGAACCTTTTCTGTCAAGACCGTTCGCTTAAGGTATCGTTTGAGTTCACCCATCATCCTTATTTCGCCACTGCTGTTGTCCGTAGATCTTGAAACTGTGTTCTCTCATTCACTTGTTACTATACAAATCCAATTTTGGGACAAACCCTATTTAGTTATGGAAACAAGTGTGCTTGTTTAGTTTCCTTTCTCAGCTTTTATCATGCTTTTTCGCTCCTTTTTTTTTTTTTTTTTTTTAAATTGTTCCTTTTATAATTTTATTGTAAAATTTTGTTGTTCTAAGAAGTTTAATTATTATAAAGTACTCCATAAACCTGCTTTCTTGTTTAAGAATGTGTACGTGTCTACTAAAGCTCTAAATACCACAATTAACTTGATTTTTATGTTAGCAGAGAAATTATTATTTTTATATGATTTTGTTGAAAGGAGGGATTTTAAAGTAGATTACAAATTTTATGTGAGACAATATTATGGACGAGAATTTCGTTTCCAATTCAGAATTACGTATGTTATTACATTCGTTAGGATTTTTTAAATTTTTACTTTTACCATTTCGGAATTGAACTCAGTTCTTCAGCAAAAAAAAACATTGATGATTAATAAAGTTGAAACTCTTGTGTAAAAAAAAAAATGTAGAAAGTGATTTAATATTGACAGAAAAACTTTTTATCTTTAAGACTATCATTATTTTCAATTTAAGACATTGAATCATCGAGTTTGTCGAAACAACATCCGCCAAATTGCTATCTAGCTTTTGTCTACAAGCTCTCATGGATCCTTCGTCGAACTTTATTAGCTATCTTTGTGTAGCAATTGCACTTCCCTTATTATGTTGTTTATGCTTTATCTTAAGCTTTGTTACCTTTGTATTCTTGGCAACTCTGACCCTTGTTTTGGTCTGATGAATGAATACAAATCTTTGAACAAAAACAAAAAAAAAAAAAAAAAAAAAAAGACACTGAATCATCGATAGAAAAAAACGAAGGAATCACATTGATTTTTTGTTCTCTCTCTTTTCCATACACTCGCTCTTATTATTAGCGTTCACGAGTTATTTATCCTCTATCGTTCATTCCAAACCTATAAATAACATTTCATGCCTAAAATTTGTGGAAATAAACAATGGACAATTTAAACCATTGGCAACATCAAAAGTTAATATATGTACAATCTTCAATCAAGTATTTCTTATTAAAACCTCTAACCAAAGAAAAAGCCTTGTTGAACATTCAATGGCTTGTGTTTACGCTTCTCATGCATACATATCAATCCATATAGTAACCTTTCTTCTCCTCTCGCGGTGGCCATCTACCAATGCAAAGTCCAACATTGCTAGCCATCTATCAACAAAACCAAAGACATGTCCATATCCGTCATTGCTGATATCAAAGGCTTGTAAAGGCACCGCGTCATTCTCGTCCCTAGAAGAAGCATGTATCGAATCCCTAACGTTAGATCACCGCACAAACTCCGCATCGACTGCATTGGAGTTGGCTAAGGCCGCGCTTTCTCTAGCCATGGAAAAGGCAGAGCATACGCAGTTTCTCATCGGTTCTCCGAAGAAGCCATGTTTCAAGAGTTGTATGGAGAACTATAAGGATTCTGTAGTCGAGGGGCTAATGAAGGCAGAGTGGTCGATAGGAAAAGGTGATGTCGATGAGACCGATGACCAACTTAGTCTTGCACGTGATGCTGCTGACTACTGCAATATGATTTTGTCTGTTGATCCAGATGATACAAGATCCCTAGTTTTTGCGGCCAACATGGATGTGTATAATCACATTACGTTTGTGATGAGTGTAGCAGACTTGCTGTAGATCAATCTCAAAGTTTCATTTACATTTACAATATTATTTTGTGTATCACAGTTGAGTTTAATCTTAGAATATATATATTCAATTTGGTTCGATTTGGATGTTTGAATAGATAACCGTAACTAACCGATATTTTATCAGGTTCGGTTTAGTTTGGATTTTAACCTAAAATAACCAAAATAAACCGAAACTAACCAAAATTAACCAAAATCTGGTTCAATTTTGTAAGAAAGTATTTAACTTTGAGAGATATAACTAACAACATTTGCATAAGTTGATTATTTAAAGTACTTGATTGTTATGATTCTAAAAATAATTAATATTTTGAATTTATAATTATAGTTTTGGATATTTTATAAATTTTAGATATTTTGGTTAACCGTTTGGTTATCTGTTCGGTTTGGTTTCGGTTAGTTTGGATAAAAGATTTACTAACCATTCGGTTATTGTAAGAATTTCGGTTCGAATACGGTTCGGTTCGGTCGGTTATTCGGTTGAGGGTTTTTTCTTCCCAGCCATAGTCTGCCAAATAAATTCCGATTCAAGAAGGAACTGTAATCGATACCTTCCAAAACGCACCGTTTGGTCTCTCTTTTCGTAACCCCAAAAATCTTTATTTGTTTTGAAATTGGAAAAAAAAACCGGAAAACCCCAAAAGATCACGATCCTCTCACTCGTAAATCATGTCTTGGCTCTTCAAATCTCGCGGCGATGATGATCACGATCACGATCCTTCCTCTCCCACCACTCATGGCGGTGTCAAAGAGGATTTATCTTCCTTGCTCCGTGGCGTTGCAGCTTTCCTCGCACCGCCTCCTTCTCCACCGTCTGCTCCTCCTGTAGACGAACGCCGACTTTCCTCTGACTCACCAACTCAGCTAGGACTTACCGGGATCCGCAACGATCTAGCCGAGATTCGTGGGAATTTCTCCAATTTCGCATCTAATTTACTCCAATTTCCTAGTAATCTAAGAGATAGAGAAACTAGTAGAAGATCTGTGTTGAAGGATGAGGGATTGGATCAAGTTCCTGGAATTTCTGATGAAGTTGTCGATTTTGCGATTAAAATCTCCACGAGACCTGGTTGTTGGACAGATTTTCCATTGTCACTTAATACTGGTAATGTACAATGAAAAAACTGATTGTGCTGTGGTTTCTGCATTGCTTGCAAGTTTAATGGATATAGGAATCATAACAAGTGCGAATTTTGTTTATCTAACGCTCGATTCTCAATAGGTTTAAGCTCTGCATTAATATGGTTGACTTTTTTCAGTAGCTAAACATAGTTGTTACTAAAATAGGTTTTATTTGGAAAAGATTGATTGTTTCTACAGTCTTTTGGCTATGTTGAGGACTAGGGTTCCAGATTAGGCTTGACCTGGTTACAAGTCTCCTTTTCGGATATATAGTTGGATTTTTTTCAGTGGCCAAACAGGATTATGCTTCAGTCTTTCACTCTTGATGTGTTTTGGTCTAGGCCTTTTGGAATTGATTGTTTCTAGAGTTGATTGGCTTTCTAGAGGGTTCACTAGGGTTACAGATTAAGCTTGACCTGTCCAGAAGTCTCCTCTTGGGATATATTTTTTCAAACCCGGATCTTTAGGATCTCAAGCTTCCCATGATCCCATTACGCTCTGTAGATCACATTTTTCATATCACATTTTGTTTAAGAGCTTAAGACTTTGTTGTTTTTTATTTATTTTTAATTTCCAATAGCATATCTTTGTTCTATACAACCCAGTATCTAGGCTTGGTTAGTTTGGATGTATTGTCGAAGCACCTAGAGGAAATTACATTGGTGGTTTCTATCTATTTTCACTATTAATCGCTCTTGATCCAAACAACTTTGAGGATAGTTTTATTTGGTGAATTATGCTGAAGTTTAGTTATGATTTCTTACCGTGTTTTATTAGGATTAGATTGAGTGTTTCTACAGTTAATTGGTTGTAGACTCTGGTGTTTTATAGAGAGATTTCCTAGGGTTTCAGATTAGGCTGACCGGTCCAGCAATCTCCTCTTGGGATATATTTCTTCAAGCTCGGATCTTTAGGGTCTCTAGCTTCCCATTATTCTCTGTTGATCATATTTCCATCTGCCACTTTTGTCTCATAGCTTAGATCTTTGTTGGTTTTTTTATTTCCAATAGCATATCTTTGTTCCCTACAACACTTTATATAAGCTTGGTTAGCTTGGAAATATTGTCGAATGTCGAAGTACTTAGAGGAAATTACATTGGTGGTGTCTATCTATTTTCCCTATTAATCACTCTTGATCCAAACAGTGCTGAGGATAGTTCTATTCAGTGAATTATGCTAAAGTTCATTATGATTTCTTACCGTGTTTTATTAGGAAAAGATTGATTGTTTCTACAGTTGATTGGTTGTAGCCTCTGGTGTTCATTAAAGGGATTTCCTAGTGCAGATTAGGTTAAGCCGGTCCAGCCGTCTCCTATCGGGATATATTTCTTTCAGCCCGGGTCTTTAGGATCTCAGGGTTCCCATTACTCTTTGTATATCAAATTTTTGATAGCTTGCAAATATTGTCGAAGAACTTGCAGGAATAAACATGATTGTGCTTGTAAATAGAGTTGACTTCTTCAGTCGCGAAACATGATTGTGCTTCAGTCTTTCACTCTTGATGTGTTTTATCCTAGACCTGTTTGGACAAGATTGATTTTTTCTGCAGTTGATTTGTTTTTTACAAGTCCCTGTTCTTTAGATGGATCTCTAGGGATTATGATTAGCCTTGACGTATTCTGCAGTCTCTTCTTGGGATATATATAGTTCAACCCATATGCCACTTTAAATCTTTTTATTTCAAATCATATCTTCATTCTGTACAACCTTGTATATAGGCTTCGTTAGCTTGAAAATGTTGTCGAAGCACTTACTGGAAAAAAACATTGATGGTTTACATCAATTTTGCCTACTGAATTATGCTGAAGTTTTTCTCTAACTTTTCATGTCCACATTACAGAATTTGAACTGTCTGAGGCTCAAAGGGCTCATGCATCAGCCATTGAACATCTTGTTCCTGGCCTTGTAGCTGTGAAGAATCAAGTTAGCAGTTACATGGATGATGAACACTTCTGGCTGATTTATTTTATTTTGCTGATGCCGAGACTGAATGGACATGATTTTGAACTCTTAGCAACCTGCAAGGTAAGAATCTATACTGGACATACATCCTGCTGAAATGTCAGTATCAATCCAATAGATTAAATTCGTAAACGTCTAAAGATTAAAAACCAGGCTATGCTATAATGAGCTCTTCAACCGATTGCAATGAGAACAAGTATAGCCACTGGAAAAACTGTAACCGCATAATGTTTTTGCCTGATGCTTTCTAAATTGGATGGTTCTTTATCTTTTTATTTGCTCTGCGTTTTTTCACAAGTCATTATTTTGTACATTATTTTGTATATTGTGCGGTACAGGTATTTGAAACAAGGGATCAACTTTTACTAAAGCTGCAAAAGAAAGAGACAGGGTCAAGCAAGAGCTCTGGTGGTCACGAAACTCCTGAAGAAGGTAGCAGTAGGGCATCAGAAACCGTGGAGGGAGTCATCGACAAGATAGAGACTCTAAAAATTGAGCAGAGAGAGATAAGTGATGAGTCATCTGAAGAACAACGGAGGAGTTTCAGAGATGAAGAGGTAATATCCTTTAGTGATTTAGATGTCGATGATCTCTCAGAGAGGCCATGTTCCAACAGGAGTACACTGAAAAGACCAGCATCAAACGCAAGCGGTTCAAGCTGGGTTCAGCTCAGCAAGAGTCAAGTTGGACACAGCAAGGATTCAGAAGGTGATTCCAGTGACTGGCTTCCAATCGGCGATTCTGATTAACGTTTTAAAGGTATGAAATTGGATATTACTGTAAAGTGAAGTGTTAGCAATGACTTTTAAACGAAACCATGCACATTTTTATTAATAAAAATCTTACTGTGTAGTAATGGAGTGGCTACTTGTAGGGCTGGGCATGGGCGGGTATCCTCAAAATTTGCGGGTAACTTGATATGCGAAAATCAAGTACCCGAAAAACGGATACCTAGTCAAAAATTAGCTGACCCGCTGAATATTTGACCCTTTTACCGTTACCCACAAAATTACAATATCCAAACATTTTAATTTTGAAAATTTTATTCACAAATAAAAAACATTTAGAAAGGATACATTTGCTTGAACTTAGATTTAGATTGCCCTAATCTCTAAAAATATTTGGTTTTATTAACAAATTTAATATATTATACTATTGTTGGATTGTTTACTTAAATATATAGTTGTGAATTTTTCAAGTAATAAAAACTGGTATTTACAGGTCGAATATTTTCTCGAGTAACGGGGTGGGTAACAAGATAGGTAGTTAAAATAAAAATTTGATACATGATATCCGATTTTATCGTTGAAAGTAGAATTCTGATACCCATTTTAGTATTTTACCTTTACCCAACTTAAAAACCATGGGTATTTTTTTTCCGAAGAGGGTACGATTTGGGAACGGAGTCCAGGCCTAACTACGTGACTTTGAGAGTTAGAATAGAGGAATGTTGTCCTACATATCGCCTTTACATATAGCTCCAGACATTATCACGTAGATATGGGTTGTTGATTAATGTCCACAAATCACAACCTCAGAAAAAACAGGTCTATCTATCTACAAGAAGAAAGAAGCAGTGGATCATAACTCGTTTTAGAATGTAAGAGATTAACGAGTGGCCATTGAGTGTTGAAGAAGAATCTAAAGCCATTAAAATCAAAATCTAGCACCTCAGGTTTCATTAGCATACATCGCAGCTGACAAAAGTTACGAATTAAATGTGTCATCCATCTGTCATTTGGAATTTACGACGACTGGCTCTTATTGGACACTGATTCATGTTACCGGATGATTCGTATCCGTCCCGAGGAAAAAATGTATCTTATATAGCTATTAAAATCAGGTTAATAGTATCGTCCTTCTCAATTATTCATAGATGTTTGCTTTAGATTGATTATATATTATACTGGTAGTATTCATATAATTATAAATAAAACACTTTACCTTGAATAAAGTAAACATGGTTAACAAAATTTTAGCGTCAAATCATCTTGTAATTGTATATTGTATTAATATGATTCTTTTACTAGCATTTGAATGTTTGAAGTTCTTGTTAAGTATTTTGAAAAGATGATTATAATAGCATTCAAATGATTTAGAAGTTGGATATTGAACTAAGTGTAACTCATGAATATAGATTCGGGTAACAAGTTAAATCATCCGAATACCCTTTAATCCGGTTACCCTTTTTCGAATTGACTACGAGAAATAAAATTCTATTACCAACAAGGAGCGAGAAAAACACCTCAAATTATAAAAGTATTCGTTCCGTACTCAGTCATACTCCTAGTTTCATGAACAAGGCTAATGAGATATACATATACTCTCTAATAACAGAAATTACTATTCATGCTAAATAACCTTAGTACTGTTTGATTTGGAAGGAAATAAAACACCAAATTGAGCTCTTTTTTTTTTATAAATAATGTTATATAATTATATAGCATGTGAATTACAAAAATAAAACCCCAATTAAGTTGTTTTTTTTTGGCAAAAAAAGAAAAGAAAACCATAGTTGGTTTAATAAAAGATTATGGTAGTCTAGATAATGCACACTTCTGTACTAATATATGGGGATTTTATGAATGGTACTCGTTCATTAAATGGTCAGTTCGGACTCATTTGTAGTATATATGGTAAAAAGGGAAGTGAGCGGTGAAAAGAGAAGAAGTTTGCACAAAGTAAAAAGAAGAAGATGGTCCACGCACACATGATCTTTTCTTTTATGACACTACGTAACAAAACCACCAAACAACAAAAGAGTTTCCCAAATTTCACATGTCAGTCTTGCTGTCTTTCATCTGTCTTCTTTACCTCTCATGTACGTATATTGGATATAACTTTATGCAGTTTGTTCCGCCTTTGTAATCTAATTCGCATATGAAATTAAGATTAACATACTTGGTTGAATCGATGGTCACAGACCAGCCAAAACCTCGATCCTGGCGGTCGTTGGCCATGTGCTTATTCTTTTATCCCTAACCTAAGCCCTTTAAGAGAGTGAGTGCATTCAAACTTGAGTATCCGAAGGTCCTCGGAAGACAAAACATTAGTGTTTCGAATAGACTTAACCGTTTTCACTATGATGCAGATCTATTTGTTCCTTAGCAGTCGACTCATGAAGATGCTTATTAAAACACACATAAAAGCGAAAACCATGTTATTAAATATTCTGCTTTTCCATTGGTATTTACATTATTAAAATGTTATTAAGATTGGTGATATCAACAACGTAAACACTTGCGGAATTTTAACTCATAATGACCTAGTCATTGTCCCATCTCACTAATTTGATTCATTACATTTTCTACTAGTTAAACGTACATATATATTGGTTTGACCAAAAAAGAAAAATATATATTGGTTAGGAGAAACCAAGATTAGATTGTACAGTACTCTGAAGTTACCTTTGTTAAAAATTGCAGTTAACCCAAGACAAAGAGGCACTTACAAAAAAGAGTGAAAAAAGTTTGGGGGACATGTGATGAGATATAGCGATGGGTCATCAAGGAAATCTTGTATTCTTATGATAATTGCCAACCATGCTTATTTTGGGGCGTCTCTTCTTATTGCAGAAGTAGCCCCCATCTTCACGTGATCCCTTCTTCTCATTCTTTCTCTATATATTCATATACTCTTTCGTATAGTTCCTCCATCCACTCTACTCAACATGGACTCCTCTAAACTCTCATCTCTCTCTCTTTGCCTCTTCCTCATTTGCATTATCTATTTTCCCCAACATTCCCTCTCATGCGGCTCATGTAACCCCAGGAAGGGTGGAAAGCCCTCCCCTAAACCCCCGGTACACATTCCCAAACTACCGGTTCCTCCGGTGACCGTCCCTAAGCTACCAGTTCCTCCGGTGACCGTCCCTAAGCTACCAGTTCCTCCGGTGACCGTCCCTAAGCTCCCGGTTCCTCCGGTGACAGTCCCTAAGCTACCCGTTCCTCCGGTGACCGTCCCTAAGCTACCAGTTCCTCCAGTGACTGTACCAAAGCTACCAGTTCCTCCAGTGACCGTTCCCAAGCTACCCGTTCCTCCGGTCACCGTCCCAGAGCTACCCGTTCCCCCGGTAACTGTCCCTAAGCTACCCGTTCCTCCGGTGACCGTCCCTAAGCTACCCGTTCCTCCAGTGGTAGGTCCCAACCTGCCATTGCCACCTTTGCCAATTGTGGATCCTATTCTACCACCGGGAACAAACCCACCAGCCACAGGAGGGAAGGATTGTCCTCCACCAGCAGGGAGCGTAAAGCCACCATCAGGGGGCGGGAAGGCGACATGTCCCATAGACACGCTGAAGTTGGGTGCGTGCGTGGACTTGTTGGGTGGTCTAGTAAAGATAGGGCTTGGGGATCCAGCAGTTAACAAATGTTGTCCGTTACTTAAAGGCCTCGTTGAAGTCGAAGCCGCGGCTTGTCTTTGCACTACCCTCAAGCTTAAAGCTCTTGACCTCAATCTTTACGTCCCTGTTGCTCTTCAGCTTCTCCTTACCTGTGGCAAAAATCCACCTCCGGGCTACACTTGTTCCATATGATAAACTCACTCCATTTATAAAGGGTATGCTATTTTCCCTCTCATTTTAATTTGAACTTGAATCTTCTATAAGAAACGTATATCTTACGGCATTACACAAAGTATTCAGATCTGTGTGTCGAATCTGAATTTTAATATGGTCTTAGGTTTCAAGATATCATTCCTTTGTCAATAACATACTTTTGTTTTCTAGTTCACTAAAACGTTTAGACAACGGACACAAGTTCGGAGGTATATAAATAGAAAAAAGTTATTGTTTAGAGAATATATATGAACTTGCGGTTATTCACAAAAAAAGTTGAGTTTTTTTTGAATACATGTTCGATTAATGTGCATGCAAGTGCCCTAGTACTATAACATTGTTGAAGTAGATACGTAAAAAAGTTAGCTTAGCAATGTGCATAAATAATCATTATAAATATATAATATGATTCCATAACAAAAATTATTTCATTTTTTTTTTCGGTTACGCAGATACTTTGGAGAAAAAAAAAGTGAGAAGAGAATGGCAGAGCTCCAATCTTTCCTGTGTTTACCAAAATATCATATCAAATCCTATCCCGTTGATTCTTTCCTCTATCGTTCCCTTCTGCTTGTATCATTAATTAATGTGTGATTTTTAGATTAATGATTCTTCTATTGTATGAAAGTATGAATTGAATTTTTACTTTTATTTTTTTTGAGTTATCGAATGAATTGAACTGCCTTCAAATTGATATTGTCAAAAATGAGAATACGCGTAAGATTTTAAATCTTCTTCTACTAAAACTACTTTATAGTTTATATTAATGAAAAGGCAAACCCATAATTTTATATTTTTTGGTCAAAATAAATAATTTTACTTTTTAAAATAATTTTACATTTTCATAATTAATATATTACATAAATGTGCGATTAAAAATAATTAAATTTATCATATATTAGATGAAATAAATGCAATGTCGGACCTAGGTTCATAAAGATTAAGACAATTGAATTATATGATCCTTGTTTGTAAATAAATCCATAGTACATTTTCTATACGTAATAGTGATAATAAAAACCGATAATACCAAACTTATAAAATACATATTTAATTTCTAATCTGCTATAAATCTCTCAGCAAAGTCACATAATTAAGTTTTCTAACAAACTATCACACCATAAAGGGGCAATGGCGAATTCATCAATATATTTTACTGGGGGCACCAAATTGTTTTTTTTTTTTAATCTTATATGTAAAAAAATAGTTTTATAACACAATTTATCATAAGAATATTAAAAAAAAAACAGTTTCAAAAATTTCATTTAATTTTTAAACATATAAATGGTCCTTCATGTAGTGTTTATTTTTAAACATTATATTCATTACTTGTCTTACACTTAAATATGTAGCAAACATGTAAAATCATTAATAGATAAATTAGATTACGAAAAAAAAAAAAAAAAAAAAAAAAAAAATTAGATTACGCAAAATATAAACATTTTTTCTATTGCTTTCACGATAGTGTAGTTTCTCGCTAATTACTACTTGTTATAGTAATCGTAGTAATTTCTCGCTAATTATGATATTAGTCGCTAATTACTATAACAAGTAGTAGATATTAGTCAACTATTTCATTCTATTGCTTTCACGATAGTGTAGTTTCTCGCTTTTTTCCTGTTTTTCTCGCTTCTCTCACTAAATTCCGTGTGTCTATATCCATAGATCTATCTAAATCCGTATTTTATTATTATTCTTGTGTTTAGATTTTCAACTTTTCTCATAGATCTATATTTTAATGTTGCGATTTTTTCCTCAACCATCTATTGTCGGTCTTGGATATCCACAGATTTTTTTAGATCTGTATCTATTCGTATATATAGACCACGCATCGGTTGTTTCTTTGTAGATATCCACAGATCTACTTAGATATATACATATTTAGTATAGATCTGTACTTTTATGCATCTTTTCTAATAGACATCTATTTTTCCTTTTCATTTTAACTTGCTGTTTGATACAAACCTTACTGTTCAAGTTATTTACTGTTCAGGAGTATGGCTGATTTTGAGCTGCTTTCCCGATTGTTCGCCGATAGAGAGGAACCTGCTGGCGATAGAGTGAATATGTACTTTAAGCTCAACACGATTAAGGCTGTGCTCAAAGCTCTTACGCCTGAAGAACTTGAAACCATTAGGCCTTGCTTCGGGAAACTTCTTGATGTCTACTCCAAACCTGTCTTCTTTGGCAAATTGGCTCACTTTCTCTTGACCCGTCAGCTTAATGTTGTCAAGCGACACGAGATATGGGTTATCTTTGCCGGCAAACCGGTCCGGTTTTCTCTCAGGGAGTTTGGTTTAGTGATATCTCTGTATTTTACCACTTTTTAGCTTACTTTTCTCATTCATTTAGCTAAGTTTTATCACTCTCTCATTGCATCCAGAGTCCTTTTCATATCATTTTCATCACTTAGTACGATCTGCATTGCATGGCATAGCATGTTGCATATTGGATGAGTTTCAGGTACTTTGGAGCTTATTTTGGGACTTAATGGAGCAAGGAGGAGCCGCACAACCTTGGAACTAGACTTGGGATCGAGTTGGAGAGGAATGAAGCCAATCGAGAGCATCCAGAACCGGTCTCGACGTCAAGACTCGATGTGAGATCGAGCTAGTGCCCAGATACCACCGAAGGACAGTCTCGACCAACCAGGCTCGACGTGAGGTCGAGTGAGACGTGAGGAAGCTGAGGAGGAGCTGTCTCGACGTAGCTGGCTCGATGACACGTCGAGTGGGTCATCCAGGCGCCATCTCTGAAGAGGAGCTGTCTCGACGTGGCTGGCTCGACATCACGTCGAGTGGGTCTCCGCCGACTCTCTATTTTGTCTTGTAGCTAATTAGGGCAACCTAGTATTTTCTATAAATAGGGGCTCACCCTTTTATCCGGAGGATATTCTCTTTACCCAGCGGATATTGAGCCGTTCTCTCTAAAAACCCTAGTTTTGTAATCGTTTTTCCCTTTGATCCTTTGAGATTTTGGATTTCGTTTCTTCATCAAAGTTGTAGATCTCCATCTCATCTATAACATACTTGCTTTTTAATGATTTCTGGGTTTATGCAATTTTCTGGGTTTTTATGCATGATGTTCTTCAGTGTTCTTGAGTAGTGGATTAGGGTTCTTGAGGATGGGTTAGATTAGGTGTGGAATCTTTAGTATATTTAGGTGGTTAAGTGTAGAATTGCTTGATTTCCCTTCTGGTTTAGTAGATCTTAATGCTACTTCTTCTCTGATCAATTGGAAGTTGATCTCAGACATTTCCACACCCAAAAGGTGTTTGATGAAATGTCTGAACAAACTTTTCCAGAGATTTGCATACTCTAGCCCAAGAGATTGGATGTTTAGAATGCTTATTGACTAGATTAGATTGATTCATAATGCCTGCTAGGTTATGTTTCTTCAATGAGAATTGAGTATGAAAGTGATTTAGCTTGAGAATCTCTGTCACGAGAGTGGATTGGTTTGTATTTGAATCTATTGTCTAGGGATAGCTTGATTGAGTTTGTTAACCACTTAGATAGACTAAAGAGACTGCTATAATCAATTATCCCATTCCTCAGGACCCTTTATCTCTATTGATTGCTTGAATCTCGTTTCTGTTAGCTTTTGTGTCTTACTCGACCTGCTAGGCCTAGATCGTCTCTCTGCTTTGTTAGGTTGATAGTTTCTTTTCCAAAGCTTATGCATGATAGTTTCTGGTCTTTAGTTTACTTCTTGTTCTTGTTTACTTGCTATTTAGTTCTCTTTCTTATGCTTTCGAATTTGGTATTTACATGTTAAATTGGTTGCTTAGGATCAATAGAAACACACAAAACCCTTTCATAATTGGCTTGACTTATTTGCTTTCTGTTTCATATCTTGAATGCTTGCAGTCACACTGAGATTGGATTGACAACCTAATATACTACAATGGCATGTGTATTAGGAATTGATACTTGTTAGAGAGTAAAAACCTAATATCAATTTGGCGCCGTTGCCAGTCTTGTGTAGCATTGTTCCATTTCAGATTTCAGAAACGTTTAAGATCAAGTTCTTTCTTTACTTTGGTTACTAACTCTTCATTTCATCTGCTTGTTTTTGTGCTCCAGGTACCATCTCGACCACACGTCGAGACAGCACGTCGAGACTAACCACTCTGCATGCAAACTCGCTCTAAAGGCTCTAGCAACCTCATCAGCTACAAAGACAACATCGATCGGTTAGCTCGTGAGTTGAGAGAACGTAGAGTCAGCGACGATTGTGAACCGCACAATCCAGTAGCCATGGAACCACAAGATCAAGATAATCACGGAGTTGGTATACCACGGAACATTGGTGATGGTGATGCACCACGCAACCATCAACAGAGACAGGGCATCGTTCCACCTCCTGTCCAGAACAACAATTTCGAGATCAAGAGTGGACTGATCTCAATGATACAAGGTAACAAGTTTCATGGGTTACCTCTGGAAGATCCCTTGGATCACTTGGATAATTTTGATAGGCTCTGCAGCCTTACCAAGATAAATGGTGTTAGTGAGGACTGTTTCAAGCTGCGTCTGTTTCCCTTCTCGTTGGGCGACAAAGCACACCACTGGGAGAAAACACTACCTGCTGGCTCCATCACAACTTGGGACGAATGCAAGAAGGCCTTCTTAACTAAGTTCTTCTCCAATTCAAGAACCGCTCGTCTAAGGAATGAGATCTCCGGTTTCACCCAAAAACAGTCTGAATCCATTTGTGAGGCCTGGGAGAGATTCAAAGGCTACACTATACAGTGTCCACACCATGGTTTCAAGAAGGCTTCACTACTCAGCACACTCTACAGGGGAGTTTTGCCCAAGATCAGAATGTTGCTAGACACTGCCTCTAATGGGAATTTCTTGAATAAGGATGTTGAGGAAGGCTGGGAATTGATAGAGAACTTAGCTCTATCTGATGGTAACTATAACGAGGATTTTGATCGGTCAAACAGAGGTATTGGAGATCCGGATGCAAAGCATACTAAGGAGATGATTCAGGCTCTCAACGAAAAGCT